ATTGCAAATGTAAGAGCGGGTTGCCAAAATATCAAGAGCGCCAATAATGAAACGTAAAAAAACTTTAAAAAATTAGTGACATCCTTTAACGAGTACTTTTCAGTTGTTGACTATTTAAGTGCAGCATCATATAACTTAAAATTATAAAGATTTTTTTCATACTAAATTGTTTTCTTAACGATATTTGTATTTCGAATAAGTATCATTTGTGTATTTCTCTCTTTTAATTTTTGCATTTTTATTTTTTGCGTCCTGTACCCTCGTCATTATTCTTTTATCGTATAGAGAAAATTGTTCTAAAATAAATGTTCAAAAAACATTTATTTGAATTGTAAATTGTTTGAATGAAAATTAAGCGATAGGACAATTATGGACTTGCTTGAGTGTCAATGCTGATTTGCCTGAAACTAATAACACTTTTGAATGATGGCATAGGCATTGTTGTTTTCTTCTGTTGCAAGATCAGTAAGAAGCAGACGACAGTAAAACAAAGATGGCTGCGCGAACTCGAGAAGAATGGGCAGTTATATCGTTATAAAAATAACCCTATTAATCATCGATGTTTACATTTGCTGAAATAGTTGTAATAAGTTTCGATGAAAGACAATGGTTTATTTCTAAACTGTACCGTACAATTTACGATCAAATATTTTATCTTCTGCCATGAGTGTTAGAATAAAATGTAACAATAAGATGGAGTAAAACTAGTAAAGAAATAATTGTAATAAAGAGTGCATTGACACAAAGTGATGAAATAAAAAGACGAAAACATTAATATCGAGTAAAATTAATCATAAAATAAAATTGTGAACAATGTTCGAAAAAATATTTATTCGAATTGTTTGAACGAAAATTAATCGAAAGGACAATTATATTAAATGATAATTATTCGAAATGCAAATATCTTTAATAAAACGATTTATTAAGAAAAAATCCTCATAGCCTTGTTATACGATACTACATGCAAATAGTCAACTGCTGAAAAGTATTTATATTATTAACATAATTCAGACTGTTATCCCCATCTTCATTGCCATATTCACAATGTTTCGGGCGCTTGACGCTTAGTTGATTGGAACTTGGAATCGAACTCTTTATTTCGTCCACCGGGGTAGACTAATATAGTTCAATGTGCCAGGATAACAGTCCGAATAATATAAATAATCATAATGCCTCATCTCAGAGATGTAGACAGATAGTAAAGAGTACTCCTTAAAGGATGTCATTAATTTTTAAGTTTTCCATTTACGTGACAGTATTTCTTGGCGCTCTTAATATTTTGGCAACCTGCTCTTACATTTGCAATATGAATTTCTTGCAAGTCTTGTTTTCTTTCAAGACCGTCTAAGAATTTCTATATTATGGGGTGACACTTGATGCAAAACAGTCCTATGCTAGCCTTTAACGGCGTTATTAGTTCTAAGTAAATCAGTATTGACTTTCTCAAAGACCACATACTTATTTCTAATATAGGTATTTCGAATAATTATCATTGCCATATCGATTAATTTTCATTCAAACAATTTACAATTCGAGTATATGTTTTCCGAATAATAGTTTTCGAATAATTTTCTCGATACGCATAATAAATCGATGAGAGGTAATAGATCAGTGATAAGTTTTTAGCAAATTTAGCCGCGTTCGATTTGCACTATTTACATGCTGACTATTAACTTCATCTTAGTAGTTTTTTAATTTTTTTAAGCATTTCAACCCGAAGCAAGTCGGGAAGCCACGAGCACGCAAGGGGTTACAGAGAGTTGGAGCGAGAGCAAAGAGAAGTGATAGAGGAAAGGATGAAGAGACGGATAGGGGATAGATCAGGGCATCTGGAGACGTCGATTGACATTACATTTGAATAGTTGGAGATTATAGCTATCAGGGAAACAGGAAAAGGGGAGGGAGTTCCACAGGCGAGACATGAAGCTATTGGAGTAGAAGAGACGGCTACATTTAACAGTTTCGACAGTGAAAGGATGAGAGCGAGATGCCAGCCGAGTTGAACGCTTAAATTCATGAAGACTGGGAACCAGCGAAAGCAGCTCATCGGAGCAGTTACCATGAAAGAGCGACTGCAGACGAGATGCCAGATCAGGGCCAATTACATTGCATATCCGTCTCTGGATTTTATCAAGGACCTTGAGACAAACATAAGGGGCACCGGACCATATATGGCAGCAATACTCCATGCAAGGGTGAATGGTTGATTTGTAGATTTGAAGGATTGACTCCGACGAGAGAAAATTTCCTGGCGCTGCACAGGGAGCCAACTTTCCTTGCGGTGGACGAAGCTAACAACGTTTTGGGAGTTGTGCCCTCCAGCCTTGATCAAATGTATATCAATCCGGATAACGTACAGGGAATTCACACCCATTATCCATCAATTCCCAAGTGGGCAACTACGAAGACGACACTACTAACACTACTATTTACTCCTGTCTCAAAAGTCAATCCGGTATTTCTGACAAAAATGACCTGGCCGTCGGTGGAACAACTATATTGAATCAATAGCTTCATCTACCACAAGGAAAGTTGGGTCTCTGTGTCGCGCCAGAAGGTTTTCTCGCCTCAGTCCATCTTTTAAATCTATAAATCTACCATTCCTCCTTGCATTGAATACTGTTGCCATATAATTATTTATCCGCTGCCCCACGCAGCAAGATGTGGCACAAGGCCGAGTTTAAAGTGGGGTAACCGAGCCCGTAGATTCCCTATAGACCACGTAAAAACGGAGTCAGTTTCCCGAGACGAGACTCCGCCCCACGCCAGAGCCCCCTCTGGAGGTACCCTCTGACATAAGCCAGGTAAATACTGTTGCCATATATGGTCTGGTGCCCCCGCTGTTCATCTCGAGGTCCTCGACAAAATCCAGAGACGGATATGCATGTGATAGGTCCTGATCTGGCATCTCGACAAAATTCACTTTCTCACAGACGTGTTGTGACTTCCCTCTGTCTTTTCCACAAATATTTTCATTGTAACTGCTCTGACGAGCTACTTTCACTGGTACCCCAACTGCATGAATTTAAGCGTGCTACTTGGTTGGCATCTCGGTCCCACCCTCTAAAAGAATACCCGCTCGGCCCGGTGGCTAGGATCAAAGTGTAGTATCTGCGCTGTGAGCTGCCGGGTCGGTGTCTGTCGAACTCTCTGCTTGCAGAGAGGAACCCCGGACGAAGCCCGCCGAAGGTAGGGTTTCGTTGGGGGGAGGTTGACGGAACTGGCCCGCCTCGGCGGGTTTGGATGGTTATTTATTTTTGGCTGGGCCTACGGGCTCAGACATACCCACATTAAAAAGGCCTTGTGCCACATTCGATCCCCGTGGGTGGATTGATAAATACCATCTCGGTCCCACCCTTTCACTGTCGTAACGGTTAAATGTAACGTCTCTTCTACCCCAACAGCTTCTTATCTCGCACTTCCCGCCAGTGGAACTCCCTTCCTCTTATTTGCTTCCCTGATAAATATAATCTTCAAATATTGAAATGTAATGTCAATCGACATCTTCTGATGCCTTGATTTTGTTCCTCGTCCTTCTCTTTATCCTTTCCTCAAACAACCCTCTTTGCTCTTGCTCTCACAATCTGTAACCCCTTGCGTGCTAGTGGCACTCCCGCCTTTCTTGGGGTGATATGCTTAAAAAAAAAAGTAAGTTCGGTTTAAGGCTTCCACAGAGAATTGTCCTACATGATTACCCTTGTGCTTCGTGAATTTATCGACATTGTAATTGTGAGTTCAATCCCTGGAGCGGGCAGTGTGTACTTGGGCTCAGTGGTAAACAGGGCGAGCACTAACTGAACAGAAAGATAAGAATCATACAAGATAGACCTAAACATGGGTTGTGGAATGAGAACAGTTATTCTATTTGTAGAATTAATCGTATGGAAAAAAATAATCCTGATTTTCAAAAATACAAATTGGTCAGTTTCGTTACTTTCGTTTACAGGCAAATATCTCTTCTCTCCTAAGCTATGGGTTAAATAGTAGAACTTATGTTAGGCAAATGCGTTGTTATTCTGAATAAATACTTAATGCAGTATTAATTCGCAAAAATAAAATGTTCTTACAATCCAAAATATTTTTGACTGAATTTCTGCGATAAGCAGTTATCGTTATTTACACTATTTATATTCGGACTATTGTCATTATCTTTGTTGTTTTTTATTACATTTCGGCAGATATGTGCTACAGCCTTCCTCAGGTGTATATCGATCTGGGTAATCTTCAGCGAATTCCGAACTGAACACTTTATTTAATCGATGGGGGTAGACTGTTCTCGTTCCACTGTATAGGGCTATCTCGTCTAGAACTTATTTTATTTAGTTCAGTTATTGCTCGCCTGTTTGCAGGTCCACAAAGCTAGAGATTGAACTCACATCCACTATCTCGCCAAATTATACAAACCAAAGCTTTTATCCTCTAGGCCATGAATTTGATGAAATAGTGGTTGGGAGTTCAATCCCTGGGTCGGGCAACAAAGATTAGGACAAAGGTCCGAATATAAATAGTATAAATAATCCAAAATATGTCTCAGATTTAAATAATCCACAAAGGGTTGATAAGCCGTAAAAATTAAATCAGTCAATAACAACATTTCGCGCAAACATTTTACTAAAATTACGCAAGTTCGCAGAACCTGTTTATTGGTTTATATCCATCGACAAAAACAAAGAATGTCAGAAACGATGAAAAACCGGTTCCAAATTCCTTAGAGAAAAAAATGTGGTTGTGTCAAAGAAGAAAGGAGAACCGGTTTCTAGTTTCGTAGACCAAATTCTGGAATGGAATGTCAAAGAACAGAGAAGCCGTCACTAAGATAGATGAATGTCATCGTTGACCAAGATGCTTCAGGTTTTATGCGGTCATGGCTCCCAAATTTTTGTTTTTAAATCAGTATCACCCCAAGCAAGGCAATAAAGCCACTAAGTAACTAAGGGTTACAGGGTGTGTAGGAATTAGAAACTGAGACATTAGTAATGAGTAGAAAGAGAACTAAATAGATTCAAACGTGTGAAATCTATCTTCATTATCTGTCTATCTATCTTCATTATCTGTCTATCTATCTTCATTATCTGTCTATCTATCTTCATTATCTGTCTATCTATCTTCATTATCTGTCTATCTATCTTCATTATCTGTCTATCTATCTATCTTCATTATCTGTCTATCTATCTATCTTCATTATCTGTCTATCTATCTATCTTCATTATCTGTCTACCAATCTTAGACGACTCGTATGTATCTATTTATTTTAGTCTGTTCATATCTATCTATTTATTTTAGTCTGTTCATATCTATCTATCTATTTTAGTCTGTTCATATCTATCTATCTATTTTAGTCTGTTCATATCTATCTATCTATTTTAGTCTGTTCATATCTATCTATCTATTTTAGTCTGTTCATATCTATCTATCTATAATCAGAAGGACAGTAGATAGCGATTGACATTGCATTTAAATTTTTGCAGATTAAAGATTAAAGCATGGAACTGGAAGGGATTTCCACGAGCGAGAAGTACGAAAGTCGAAACTGTTAGCATAGAACTTGCGGCTACATCTAGCCGGCTCAACTGTAAATTGATGAGATATCGACGCCAGTCTAGTGATGCGCTTAAATTCAAAAACTCTAGCTACCATAGCGAAGAACTCACCTGAACAATTATTATGAAATTATTTACAGAAAAGAGATAGAGGTAACCTTACAGTCATGAGAAAGAGACTGGGGCCGAGCTGCCAGATCAGTAACAATAATATTGTTGATTCTTCTTTGGATCTTATCATGGTAAATAGCAAGGGCACCGGACTATATGTGGCAGCAATATTCTAAGCCTGGACGAATACTCGACTTATAGATATGTAAGATACATTCTGGACTTTAAGATTTTTCTCAGCTTTTAATTGTATTATAGAATTTCAAGTATTGTACTATGGTGGCCTCCTTTCACATCAGGTCCAGTAACTCTGTCTGGGATCTTCTCTCCTATTAATTATTGTACTGGATCTGGGATAAACCAGAGTACTAGGCGACATTCACCAGTACTTGCAGTATCTTAACCCATTATTTGTATTGCCTTGTTGCAACTTATCAGGCAGCTCAGTGACACTTTTTGTCAAATTGCGTGACGATTGCCAACAGCAGCAACAAGTAAAACACATTTAACTTGTAGAAGAAAATAATGACATTATCAATATGTTGACATTCCACACTACTGCTAACAGAAGGATAGGAAGGAAACCTTCATTAATACTGGAAAGAGCGATAACAGCTACTGTACTTGAGAAACTATTTTTCTTAAAACTTTGTTGTACGATAGGAAGTTTTACTGAATAAGGAATAACCAAAATGGAGGTTGGAATGAAATAATAATCTTTATAACATCAACAAAATACAATACTCGCCAGCGGCGTGAAGTAGGTAAACCACTTCTACTATTAGTGTTCATAGGTAAAGTATATAACACTTTCTATCTTTCTTTCTTTTTTTTGTTTTTTCTTTCTCTTTCTTTCTTTCTTTCTTTCTGTTTTTTCTTTCTCTTTCTTTCTTTCTGTTTTTTCTTTCTCTTTCTTTCTTTCTGTTTTTTCTTTCTCTTTCTTTCTTTCTTTTCTTTCTCTTTCTTTCTGTTTTTTTTCTTTCTTTCTTTTTTCTTTCTTTTCTTTCTGTTTTTCTTTCTTTCTTTCTTTCTGTTTTTTTCTTTCTTTCTTTCTTTCTGTTTTTTTTTTCTTTCTTTTCTTTCTTTCTGTTTTTTTTCTTTTTTCTTTCTTTTCTTTTTTCTTTTTTTCTTTTCTTTTTTTTTTCTTTCTTTCTTTGTTTTTTCTTTCTTTCTTTCTTTCTTTCTTTGTTTTTTTTTCTTTTCTTTCTTTTCTTTCTGTTTTTTTTTCTTTCTTTTTTTTTCTTTCTTTCTTTTGTTTTTTCTTTCTTTTCTTTGTTTTTCTTTTTTTTTTTTTCTTTCTTTCTGTTTTTTCTTTCTTTCTTTCTTTGTTTTTTTTTCTTTCTTTCTTTCTGTTTTTTTTTCTTTCTTTTTCTTTCTTTCTGTTTTTTCTTTCTTTCTTTCTTTTTTTCTTTCTTTCTTTCTTTGTTTTTTCTTTCTTTCTTTCTGTTTTTTTTTCTTTCTTTCTTTGTTTTTCTTTCTTTCTTTCTTTGTTTTTTATTTCTTTCTTTTTCTTTCTTTGTTTTTCTTTCTTTCTTTCTTTTTTCTTTTCTTTCTTTTTTTCTTTTTTTCTCTTTCTTTCTGTTTTTTCTTTCTTTCTTTTCTGTTTTTCTTTCTTTCTTTCTTTGTTTTTCTTTCTTTCTTTCTTTTTTTCTTTTCTTTCTGTTTTTCTTTCTTTTTTTTTCTTTCTTTCTTTTTTTCTGTTTTTCTTTCCTTCTTTTTTTCTTTCTTTCTTTTTTCTTTCTTTCTTTGTTTTTCTTTCCTTCTTTTTCTTTCTTTCTTTCTGTTTTCTTTCCTTCTTTTTTCTTTTCTTTTTCTTTTTCTTTTTTTCTTTCTTTCTTCTTTTTTTTTTTTTCTTTCTTTCTGTTTTTTTTTCTTTCTTTCTGTTTTTTCTTTCTTTCTGTTTTTTCTTTCTTTCTTTCTGTTTTTTCTTTCCTTCTTTTTTTCTTTCTTTCTGTTTTTTCTTTGTTTCTTTCTATCGTAAGCTAGAAAGGGTATAACCAAAACAAAGGTTGGAAATGAAATGATAATCTTTATAACATCAACAAAATACAATACTCGCCAGGGGCGTGAAGTAGGTAAACCACTTCTAGTGGTCGACTACTTAGACAGCATATTACTCTCCACTTACAATAGTGTCCAACGTATTTATGAGGACTGGGACATATACATTAGTGTTCATAGGTACGCTATATAACAAATTCTTTTCAAGAGAAAGATTTTAGAAATTTCTACCAACGGGAGTACCTACTCTCCAAGTCATCCCGTCCTGTTGGCTGGGGTTTCAGATTACGCCGAATGCCCCTCTGCAGAAGGGTAAGAAACGCCCGCCATCCAAAATGAGTTGACCTGGGTAAGACGATAAACTACATCCAACAGCAAAGCCTCTGGTCAGGAATTTTTGAGGAGCGTGGAACCACCTTTTAATTGCTGGTGTTCTCAATTTCATCCTGACACGGGGTGGTAGCACCTGTTAGGATCCTAGCTATGGGCAAACAGTTAACCCCCAAAATGGGGTCAAAACACTATGAAAGTGTAAAAGTAGGTTTTAATACCAGCAATGAAAGAATTAATACCAGGAATACATTTTTTGAAAAAAATATTACCAGGAATACATTTTTGAAGGAAAAGAAATATTACCAGGAATACATTTTTGAAGAAAAAGAAATATTACCAGCAATAAATTTTTTTGGAAAAACTGTCACCAAGAATAAAAATCTTGTTGGTATTAAATATGCCCTTGAGGTTGATATGCGGTAAAACAAAACAAACCTAGTAAAAAATAAAATGTTTTCTCTGATGGAATTGCATAGTTTACCTCTTAGCGATTATCCCACCCACTTCTTTAACCAACTTAAGTTGGTAACGATCAAGAGAAAGTCGAATGTGACTGAAACATGAAAACGCTGACATTTCCTTGCCAGCAGCGAAATAATATCCCACTTATTTACGACTCATTCCTTTCAGATCTTATCTAATGATACAAGGCCAGTTGAACTAAGCGCTCCACTGGCTCGTAACAGAAAGCATACTCTGTGCTTTCCTAGCCGTGGTGGTCAGTCAGTCGTTACTGATTGTAACGTCTGTCCTCTTTGGGGATTAAAATTGTGCCTTTTTTTGTGGCCGGTTTTCTTCTTTCAAGGTTGCCTTTATGGGATTAGTCTTTTTCTTACATTACCTTTGTCCTTCCTTTTTTTATTCATCTGTAACACGTGACACACACGTGGTCAGATGCTAAATCCCTCGGAAGAGCGAATTGTATTGATAGAAATGTTAATTTTCATTTTAGCCGTTTCCTTATAAGGAAACATTAAGTATTCGTTGAACAAACAACAGGTACTACGTTGTTAGAAATTTCTAAAATCTTTCTCTCGAAAAGAATTTGTTATATACCATACTTATGAATACTAATGGGCATGCCCCAATCCTCATAAATACGTTGGACACTATTGTAAGTGGGGTTAATATGCTGTCTAAGTAGCCACCACTAGCACTGGTTTACCTATTTCAAGCCGCTAGCGAGTATTGTATTTTGTTGATGTTATAAAGATTACCATTTCTTTTCCAACCTCCGTTTCGCTTATTCCTCATTCAATAACCCTTCATAGGGTACAACAGAGTTTTCTGGAAAATAGTTTTCTCAAGTACAGTAGCTGTTATCGCTCTTTCCAGTATTAATGAAGGTTTCCTTCCTAGCCATCTGTTATCAGTAGTGTGGAATGTCAACATATTGATAATGTCATTATTTTCTTTTACAAATTAAATGTGTATCCATTTTACTTGTTGCTGCTATTAGCAGTCGTCATGCAATCTGATTACTGTTATATTGTGCTGTGTATTGTTTGTGATTGTGTAGCGCCATTCCACAATGTTCCAAGATATATTTAACCATTGACCTGAGACCGTATACAGCTGACAGTGTCGATGTTTCTGAACGAGTTTGGAGCCATGCATGAAATCCAGATGGAAGATTCGATCTGACGCAAGCTCCCGTTTTCAATTTAATGTTTCGGTTCAGTAGCAGTTTGCAGTTTTTTAGGAGTCTATTATATTATATATATATATATATATATATATATATATATATATATATATATATATATATATTTCTGTAGTTCATTGCTACCAGCAAGCAGAAAAAATAATATATATATGTATCTGTAGTTCACTGCTACCAGCAAGCAGATTTTTTTCTCTCCTGATGATGGCCAAATTAATCGAGGAATAATAATAATAAAAACGAAAGAATATTAATCTACAACCCAGTGTGTCTGAAGATTTTAATTATTTAATATTTTTTATTATTCAATATATATATATATATATATATATATATATTCTAGAAGTAGAGCCCGGCGTTGCCCAGGGATGTAACAGTAAGAGATAGATCAAGTATTGACCACCATAAAGACTGAAAAATAAAACTGACAAAGATTATTGTTTAAGGTTGACGGACACACATGTCTTAATTAGTTTTGTTTTTTTTACGAATTGGTCAAACTCAAACAAAAACATTGTTTTCAATCGTTATGAGTCTACCGATTGAATAGAATTTTATTATAAACAATTGTCTTGTAAATGGAATTTTTAAAGCATTCTGAATGTAAAAATAAAGAAAAAAGGTGTGCAAGACAATAAGAAACACTACCTGCCAAAAAAAAAGTGAAGTTTTGTTGAAATCGGCTGGAAAATGTAGGAAATCCGATTCCATATATAAACGAACACACACACACACACAC